AAATCCACGCCTTACAAAATATTAAAAAAAATCACAACTTAAAAAAATATTTTTAATAATCCACGCCCTACAAACATATTTTTAAAAAAACACCAGATCTTCATAAATATTTTTAAAAAAAATCCAAGCATTAAAAATGCTTTTAAAAAAATAATTACCTGTTTGTGTTGCCCTAATTTTTTTAACCTACCCTATTTGCCTTTTAAAATATTTCTAAAAAATCTTCGTCTTATTAGTGTCTTTTAAAAAAGAAATATTAAAAAAAATCAACTCCTGTTTTTGATGCCTTCATTCACTGAGAATAACTATTTTATATAAAAAAATTCTCCGTCTGTAAACAAATAAATCGCCAGTCAGTGGACAAACTCACGGAGTATAGTCACAGGGAAAATGTTTCGCTTTTGATTTTCTATGAAAAGAAAATTTTTTTAAAAAGAAAACTAATAATAAATATATAATATATATATTTATTATTATATTTTTTATTTGTATATTTTATTTTGTTGTATTTCCCTTAAAAGTCATCTACACCTTTCTCCACAGATGTAATACCTAATTTGTAAAACACGCTATGGGAAGGTGTTATGTACGCTTACATTTCTTGGCCTAATTTCTGGTTTGGCCAGCAAAAGGGTCATCGTGCATATGTGAGAAACCATTTAACTAACCAAAGCAACCGACCGAACAACCAACAGTAAAATGGACTAACTTAGTTAATGTAAATGTCTAATGACACGTTACATGGAGGTTCCTTGTGGAACATAAACATATTTTATGATTAATTGTTTTTAAATGAGTTTTTGGGTTTCTAGAGTGGAGGATACAAAGTGTCATATGTAACGTGTGTGAAAGAACAGAAAATTTCCAATCTGAATTTTTTCAAAACAAATATTAGCTTCTTCATAGGGTATGCCCCGTATGCTGTAGGGGAGTTGTACTACAGTTGCCATGATGTCTATCAAATATGTTATAGATTTATGTTAATTTCGATTGATTTCTTGTTCAATACAAATGTATATTATGGGAATTTTGTTATGGAAATATTAAAAAATCGAAAATAATCCAAATCCCGAAAAAAATTTTTTTGTAAAACTGCTGGTTAACGTGTGTGTTGAACTGCTTCTGCTATGATTTGTTTATTCCCAGTGGGCATATTGTAAAATTGTGTAGCTAATTTCTTTACTACAAATTGCTGGGGTCAATATATCAAACCAACATATCAATGTTTTAGTTGTTGTTGTGTGTTTTCTTTTACCCCATCTTCTTCGAAGTAATAGACAGACACACACACTCGGTGTGCAATGTCTGAGAAAACAAGTGTCATGCTGTTTTAGTTCATTAACTTAAATGTGTAGGTCAGTTAGGGCAAACCTTGTATGTTAAAGGGGGCCACAGATTATAATGGATTATATCAACAAATACTTTTAAATATAATCAATAATGTGACTTCTGTTTGCATAAAACATATAAAAATATGCCATGTATATTATAAGCCTTTGGACTTTATATGGAGAAAAAATTGGAAACAAATTGGCAAAATAAAAAAATAATGATAACCCCTACATATTTCAAAAGTGTAAATGTGACTTCAAATGTTTTATTATTTCTGGAAACTACAAGAATACATAACATTTTTTGTTTAAACATAGTATACCCTTTTTCTCCGAAAACATACTTATGTAATATTTCTAATTTTTCTTTAGTATAATTTATATATTTTTTATTTTTTGTTCATGATCTTGTGTTTTGAAACATTATACTTTGTTGTCTGGTAGCAATTGCTACTAAAATCGTTTAATATTATGTGGCGCCCAACTGTTTTACCCTACCTGATTCCTATAGCACATCAAAGTTATTAAATAACTAATGACAATATTAAAATGAAATGTTGTCAATGTTAAATTGTTTTTTCTTCTTCTTCTTATTTTTTGCATGTGATTAAATATTTTTTAAATAACAACTAGACAAAGTCATAACATCTCCCCATCAAAAAAATCCTAAAGAAATATTGTAACAACATCTTCAAATGACAAGTGTTTGTCTCTTGGACCACCAATCTACCTTCTGTTTGTTTGGGGGTTTCTGTTTTTCAACCCAGAAAGATGATGAACAAGAAAATCTAAATTTCACATTGATGACACCGACCGAGTGACGGATGAGCCATGTCATACGATGTTAATGTTGTGACATTTATCATTAGGCATAAGGCGCACACACACCTCACCTCACTTAAGAAAAAACAACAACAAGAACTTCAGGCGAGCAACCGGTCACTCAGTCAGTCACTCAATAACTCATTCAGACAGTCACATCCGAGGAATATTTGTTGGTGCTAGCTGATGTTGGTGGTGCATCTGGAACTTGATTAACGCATCACTTGTCTGATAATGATTGCTGATATTCTCTTCTTTTGTTTTGAGCGAGGGGTTTTGGAATGTCTTTTATAATTCAAAACATTGAAATGTTTTGCATACACAGAAAAAAAAACTGATTGGAAGATTAAAACATTTAAAGGAACAAATATAAAAAACTGTAAATAATTAAAAACTACATTACAGAGGCATATAATATGTTCAATATCTGTACACTTTTTAGGGTAGCTCGCATATAAAAAGAACCTCCCAAAATGCGAATTTTGTAGGTTTTTATTTAAATTGGCTTTAATTTAGTATTTTGGGTACTCATCTCTTCCTAAAATTATCAAACAATCAAAATCTACCTTTCAAAAATCATCAATATTGGCATAAGTTTCGGACTACTCCCTATATAGGGGCACCCCGCTTTTTTAAGATTCAAGATTTGTATCAGAACATAAAATGGACTTAAGGCACTTTTAAAATAAACGATTCATTTAGGGTTTCTTTTTGAATGTACGCCGCGTTGTTGAGGGTATTAAAAGTTAGTCCCGGCCGAACTTAACGACGTTTTGACATTCAAAATATCCCAATTTGTTTCGCATCTTTAAATGGATGCTATGTCTTCGTTACTTGGCTGATGTGAGATTTTTTTTTAAATCCTGAGAAGACGATATGCCAAATTAGATATACTTAGGCTACTCAAAAGTGGACTTATATAAACAATTTTCTGTGAATGCCAAATTACATATCTATCGGTGGCGAAATGAGGCAAAAAACCTCAGAAGTACCGTAAATGGGCGGAACCATCTTATATTGGATATGTAAAATCGGAGACAATTGACCATTCACTGTGGAGGGTTTTTCACCCTCCACGAATTAAAACCACTTCAGTTGGAGAATGCACCTAGGACACGCATGTTTACCCATATACGCTACCGTAACTGAGGGTCGATGGGTAAATAAATTGTCTCTTTCTTTCTCTTTACGTCAGTCGTTTGCTCTCAATTTAATTGCTCTCAATTTAATTTTGCCCAACATTTAATTTTGCTCATCAAAATACCTAAAATAGGATCGGATATAGACAATTTTCTGATAAGACAACACCAAGAAACCGGAATGCAAAATTACAGCCCTATCGATGGCGAAATGAGGCTAAATCCCTAAAAAGTTCCATAAATGGTCTTCTTGTATATGCTATGTAAAATCTTGGACAATTGACAATTTGGTGCGAAGGTGTTTTTCACCCAGAATGCCAAATTTAACCCAAACATTAAAATACCTAAAATCGGAACTTTATATAAAGACTATGCCAAATTACGTACCCATATTGACAATTTTTTGCAACATTTTTTACCCACCAATATGCCGAAATGCAAAAAAGCCGTTTTTTTGGAGAAGGTCGCTACTCAAAGATAATTTTTTTATTTAATATTTTTTTTTGTCAATGACCTCGGACCAATAATGAAAATTTTCTGGATATGGGGTTATGTCAATGACCTGGACCAATAACGAACCTGGAAAAGCTAATTCCATTTTTTTCAGATGATATATGGCAGTTATACCAAAACGTAGACCGATATATCCCATTTGAAATAAAAAAATCTTAGGGTTAGCCGCCCATTTTAACTCCTTATTTTTATAACAATAACGCGTTCCCGTAACCGTTTTTGAACTTCCTAATTTTGCTTCATTTTTTTATAGATTTATAAAATATCCAAATTTTTTCCCAGTGTAATTTCTCAATCATAGACTGTCAAACAGATTAGGTACCGGTAAATCAACTTGAAAAGAGATTCTTATCTGATATTAAGGTTTGGGGGAAATAAAGGCCGCATGCTAATGTACAACGATTGGCGTGTGGTCCCAGTTGTCAACTGTCATTTCATTTCATGTTTTTTATTTCTGTTTTGGTTGCTAGTGTCTGTCGTTTCTTTAAATATTGGGTAGGGTTGGATAGGAAATATGTAAAATATGTATGTCGATATTACACGCTTTGTTAGGCTGTGATTGCTACCGCCAATTAACACAGCAACAAATTTAGCTTTAGGTAAAACAAAGAACAAAATAAAAGAAAATAAGTAGGCGGCAAAAGGAAATAGGCAACGAAATGCAGAGGGTGTACAATTTCTTTTGAATACCTTGGGGAACTAATTCGAACGATGAGAGGTGATAAGAATTGTCATAATTACTTTGACAATTTTTCATTGACAGTTTTGTTGTTGGCATTAAGCCGGTGTTTGTTTTTGTGTTTTTTTGTTATGTTTGTACTGATTGAGTGGTGTTTTCATTAATAGAGACATTTATGTCAATATTCTTTTAAATCCACTTTCGTTCATTCTTATTTTTTGTAATAATTCGATTTGGTAGTCATAATAAATATAACATAAAAAACCAAAATATATATTTTTAACACATGTTTGTTTTCTAACATTTCAGGAATCCTATGATTAATGATTTATTTGACATGTGTACAACGAATACTCCTCCACTTTTTGGATATATGTTTTGCTTTTACATAGCACATATATTTTTGTCACTTATTTTTCACACCATTAATTATTCGGATTTTTAGTATTTTAAGAATTTATGTTTTTTTTTCTTTTTTGGTTATTTTTAAATTTTGCATTAAATTTAGGTACTTACCAACACCGGCCACATGAATTTTCTTCATCCATGGATAGATTATCCGTTCGCCATCTGTTGTTTCGCCCAACATCATATCATCATCGCTACAATCATCACCCAAGTCATCATCTAAACCCGGCGAACAAAGTTCATCGGGTGAACGATCCAACATTAAGCGATCCTCTTCCAGCATATCATCCTGAAATTTATAATTTGCAACAAATTTATTTTTATTTAATTATTAAAGAATTGTAAAGAAGATTGCCTTACATTTTCCGAACCATCATCATCACAGCGTAAACGCATACCGAGTTCTTGTAATTGTTGTCCAGCAGGTACAGCTTCTTCGATGCGTTTTTCCAATTTTAAACCTTAAATAAATAGAAAACACGTTAATTAAATTATAGTGTAAAATTTATAAATATTTTGAAATACTATCGTAATTACTGAACAAGTAACAAAAATATTGAAAGAGTTAATTTTAAAAATAGTCGGAATCAGAACGATACCAAATGGCAATCCCTCAAAATCTAGACACAATTTGGAAGTAAAATTTTTTATAAATTGAAAAAATAATGCAGAATGCTAATAATGACTCATAACACTTGCCATTAGGTGCTGAAGAGCAAATTTAATGATTAAAACAGACTGAAATTTGGCAATAGGGATAATGATGGATTTCCGATATGATCCGTGGATTTATTGAGTATGCTTAACATTATACACCTGTATCGCTTAAGTAAGTTGTTATTGGCGCAGAAGTTTGTAACACTGTGAAATATTGATCTTCGATCCATGTGTCACCCAACAAATGGTTTTATTTTCATCGATTATATTTGAGTGTCCGTTCTTCTGTCATTAGAAAAAAATTACTATGTTGTGTGAGCAGGAGCATTATTATTGTGCAAAATTTTTTTTTATAAATCCAGACACAGATCTTTTTTAAGAAAATCAATATTAATCATCGTCTACTGTCTTCTTAGTTGTTTTGTTGTGATTAATAAACTATGGCACAAAAATCGAAGACGAACCAACCCTTTCGAAACTTGAAAAATTTAGGGTAAGGATACCCGTAGGAGTATACACTTTCTTGCGTTATACAATTAATAATGTCGTTAAGATCGATCGTGCGGCCGAAATTGTTATACCCTGGAGAAAACAAAATATCAAACAACAGACACTTGGGTGTGAAGCCAAATCCGAAATACCAAAAATTTGGGGTAATATTAGGGTATTGACAATTTTTGGAAGGAAGATTTGCTACCCAATGAGAATCCATTATGCCAATTCGATTGAAATCGGTGTCCAAAATTATCTAAATACCAAGTAAACATCCTACTAGGATTAGCGATGCATACGTCCAAACTCAAAGCTCTATTTCGAGTTCCAAAGGCGGACATGGTTAAATCGATCGAAACGTTTACATAGAATTTTATAGAATAGCATATTATGGAGTCTCCGGTAAACATGTCGAGGTGTTGCAAACGTAATGACAAATTTAATATAGGCTTCGACTTATTATGGAGGGTATAAAAATTAAGTCTGAAAAGTTTCTTTGGACCAAATTTGTTTCAGACAATTTAAAATCGAGATAGAATTTTCCATCTGTCCGTCCCGCTGACTGTGGCGACTTGACTCAAACTTTGCACTACCAAACTTAAATTATGTTCGAAGATTGAAAATACCGATACACCCCTTCTGTTATCTTCACCACATATATCCATATTGATCCGAACAAAAAAAGAGCATTAACGTTTTGACAACCAATAATATCCTGTTGGAAAATTGTTCTGGTATTTAAATGTATTAATTCTGTAAATTGGAATTGGAAGAGAATGTGTTCTAGGTAGATGAAAATAATTAAAGAATTAATAAAAGCTAAGATAAAAATTAATTAGATAAAATAATTAAATAATTAGATTAAAGAACTCTAGAAAACACCACAGAGTGATAAAGATACGAAGTATAGCTCGAAGAAATTTTATTCTCAAAATGAGCTGGAGTAAGTGGTTAATACTTTTAAATGTCTCGTGGTTCAAACTTTAGTATATCCCATGTCATTCATAAAATGTTGATACATAAACGGGTACTGCTCGATGTTAGACTTCAGTACCGTAAATGAAAATAAGGTTTTATTCCTCTTTGTTCAAATATGCATGGGTAAAATCGAAATTTTTACTTAAACATATTTTAAAAAAAAAACTCCAGTTGCGGGTCTTAATAGTTAACTACTGTCCCTAAAGTTGCGGGTCTTAATAGTTAACTACTGTCCCTATCCTAAACACACTGGCATCTCGAAAATTGAATTAATCGAGGAATTTAACGTTTACGATCATCTATGAATTGGCATTATAATTTGAACATAACACCTGTCGCTAAGTTTATTAATTTCCTTCAATTTATATTCAAATTTATTGTTATATTATTTAATGCAGCTTATGAGATGTATGTAAGAATAAAATGTTTAAAAAAATATTAATATACTTAACTGAGTGATTGATTGGAAGTGATTGACCTAACGATATTGATTATCATTTGCACAAAATTGCCAATCGTAAAAAATTGACAATAAGTTTTATGATCGATGAGTGGTGGCAATATTGAATGGCTATGAATATTAGTAAGATCGATTAGGGTTTTTGATGAACAGTTAATATAGCTTCGGCTTTAAAGATAATTTTTCAGAGCGTGGCAAATTGGGTCGATCACAAATATATTTGTGAATGCTTGATATTTAAATATTAATATTTTCGATATTTGGACCAATTCGGAAACTAAAATTAATTGTATGTCCCTCATAGCTTATAACGATTGTTAATAGATATGTGAAATTGGTCGATATTAAATAAATAACACTAGGAACTAAATCGAGCTCCTTATGAAAGGCAGAGGGACAAATTCGCTATAGTTTAAGTTTTTTAGTTATGGCGTTATGATTTTTTTTTTTTTTTTTTTGATGATAAATTTGAAATCGCGAGCTTTAAATCTTTATTTGGGGCTATTGTATATTATTTTTGGGATGACTGACATCTTGTCCAATCGAATGAGGAATATTTTCGTAAATACGTATTCTATATCGAATACTTGTGAGTATTTTCAGTCCTTATTTTCTTGAACCTTAAAGGTTATAAAGGGGACAACTTGGAAAATATATCATTTTCCAAAGTTCTAAATGTGAAGATACCAGTTGAGCTTTTGATCTTGAAAGTGAAAAGTCCAACCTTCCCAAATTCATTTAAATAACAACTTAGAAGTATACATAGAACGATTCCTTCCGCATTTAATAGTTGATTTCCTTACCCAACTCTTGTAATCCCAGTGCCGTATTACTTGGCGGCTCCGTTGACGAACATTGCAGCGGCATATCCATCATCTGTGAATGTGGCGAGTGACCCTGAGAATGAGTACTACCCACACTACCATTTGTACCATAATAACTATTGTAATAACCACTTGAGGTAATTGCCGTTGTACCATTTCCTCCCGCTCCACCACTGGGAGATGTAATTGCGGGGGCATATAGATTTGAAGATCCTAGTGATGTAACCGATGGATCGGAGTGTAAACCACCAGCGGATGTCATATAGTCCGGTGTATGATGGACTCCAACGGCAGCAGCCGCCGCCGCTGCTGCATGATGACCATAATACCCGAGATTTTGATGATGTCCATGATGCGGGTGAGGATGATGTGTTGTCGCTGCTGTTGAGGCATAATTTGAATAGGCAGAATTTTGATGATGACTCGTTAGGCCATTGTTGGTGTGGGCATGGGAATGTGGTGGTGGCGGATGATGTGGATGGGTACTGGCCGCATGATGATGTGCCGCCGCAGCCATATAATCACTGACCATATCCGCCGGGTGTGTTGCATGAGGATGTGTTGGTGGCATACAAACCGCACCACCATTACCCGGTACCATATGACCCGTTGAGGCCGTCATCGAATAATGGCTATTGTATTGGTGATAATCATCAGCAACTGGAGGGAATTTCGGATCTAATCCATTATTCATGCCCATGGAACTCTGGACATGATGCGGTGCATGTGGATGATAACCCATTATGAAGGAACTCATTTTAGGGGGATCAAAATTAAACTCTTCGTTTGTATTTCTTTTTTAATTTTCAAAATCTTTTTAACACTTATTTTTATTTGGTCGTTATTTCAAATTATTTCTATTTTCACTTTTTATAAAACGAAATTTGTGAATGTGAAAAAAAATTTTTTGTTTTTTTCAATTCTTTGCACTTTTGTTTGTTTTTTTATATTCCTCTTTTTATTAATTTATATATTTATAATAAATATTTTAATTCTTTTTTTTTCATTTAACACTATCACTGTAGGAGGTATTCGGTTGTTTTAGCAAATTATACAATATGTGTATAATTATTTTATTTTTTGTTTAATTAAATTAAATATATTTTTTGCATGGTGCTGTTGTATTTTGTTTCACTTTCAATAAATTTTTGTTTGGTGTTTTCCTTTTTGTTTCTAGAAATATTTCCATGACATTGTGATGAGTTTGCAAATTTCGTAGCGGGAAAACATCTAAATCATATGTTATGTGTAATGTTACACGGATTCGAAAGCTTGGATCACACACAAGCTTTGCCGGCGCTTTTTTCCGGAAAAATGCAATGCCCTCAGACAGACATACAAAAACAACAAAACAAATAACGTTGGCAGTTGTATAGAAAACAAACGACGCTTGATTGATTCAATCAGACAATCCGTCCGTACCGTTCGTGACGAGACGTTCTTTTGTTATAAACAAACGGCAGAAAAACGCCAGCTAGCGAACCTGTTCGATTAGTACGCATTCGCAAAGATACACGCTCACTGTTGATTGCAGAGATACTGACAGCGGTAAACAGTAAGCCGTACTCATTCGGTGCTCGCAGGCTTTGTGATGGCAGCGAACACACAACCAACCATCTCTTCAGTTGGCAATTTGACTCTCTACGAAAAAATAACAACAACCCCAACAACAAACACACGCACGCACACACTGTATCGAGAAAACATGATTTACTGGTTTTCAATAGCAACAAAAACATTTCACTGTTCGTCGGTCGTCCATCATACACGACACACACAGAAAATGTTTCAATGCCTATAGTAGTTTAGGCCAGCCCACACTTCATACTCACCCATCAACAATAGAAGAGGCCATAATTGAGCTGCATACCATGTTGGTTTGCTCATCGTTTAGTGAACAAAAGCGAACCACCACCACCATGTTTGCTTCGTATAATTAACACAACATGGCATGTATGTTGAAAAGGGAGAGATATATTATAAAAGGGAGAGAGTGAGACAATGCATAAAATGAGTGAAACACACCCCTATAAATACAAAAAGAGAAAATACGTTTATTCTTTTACAATTTTAAAATATACCATAACAGTAAAGTCTCGATAACATTTACGATATGCTGAGGTGTTAATAAGGGGGCTTAATCGTATAGCTTGGTTACATATGATCGTCAGATCAAACTCTGACGATAACCGCATAATATTTAGATTGGTTTTTTGGTTTAGGCTTTTATTGTTAACAAAAGTTCGAAAAAAGAATACTTTAAATTTTTGCAGTTATATATTTGGTGGTTAAAAATTTAGGTGACATAAATACAAGAATTGATAATTTAAACCCACCGGGTTAACGAAATCCGGTTTTTTATTATATAATAAAAATAGGTTATAATAAATGAATACGATTTTTTATAAACGATCGTAAAAAATGCCCCAAGTTCATGTTATTTTTTGTATTTCCCAGCTAAAGAAAACCATGAATGAATGATGCTATGCTAAAATTGAAGAGAGAAAAATGAAACCAAAGAGTATTTGAAGAAGAAATGATTCATCAATTTTACCTTACATCCATTATATCCCGATGCGTTTTAAAAAAACCCGGAGAAAAAATTTACCCAACCAAAAATTTCTTGTTTTAGGATCCATCCACAACAACTTGGAATGTATAATAAATTTGTCATTCTGTTAATAACACCTAGGAGTTAATGGGGTATATTTATCCACGCTTTGATATAGCACAACACTAAATCAACTAAAATAGTAAAGATAATAAAACATGAACATATCGAGCTGTTTTTTCAGTTTTAAATCAGGTCTCAATTTGTGCTTGGACAATACTAAAGCAGCACTACAGTACAAACATATGAGCTCTGAGTTGAGTTTGATTTTCAATGTTAAAAAAATGTCTTTACATCTGTAAACAAGTTAAAAAGTCCCCGAGAATCTGGAATGTCAAATTATAGACACTTCAGAGTACCAAAAATGCGTCGCGTTCAACTTTATATGGGGTTATGTTTGCCGAAAATTTTCGATGTACGTCCAGAAAAAAGTCAGTAATTTTTTTACTTTACTGCCACTTCGGCGAGAAAAGGTTCTAAATCCAAGCATATACCTATATAGAATATTGTTCGCATAAATATATCCTACCCTGCAAAAACCCAGAGAATGAATCTAAAACCTTGAAAATACAGCAGATTTAGCATTACATCAAAAACCCGGTATTAATACTTTTTAGTGGAGACGTGTCAAATTAAAAGTTTCAAAAACTTTTGTTCTCTAGTGCCTATCCCGAAACATATACTCACATTGATAATTTTTAGTATGAACAATTTTACCTAAAGAGAATCCAAAGTATCAAATTGTAGCCAATTATACTATTTTCTCTTATAAAACTTGTAGCACTTTTATTTTGCACTTTTTATTTTTTTAGCACTTTTTTAAACAAAATCTATCATTTTTTATCAGCAATGGAAGACTGCATTAGAACATCAGTTCGTACTAATAAACAAATTGTCGGAGAAATAAAAAAAACAGTCATTTTGGACTTCAACGGAATTGATGAGATGCTTATCGTTGGATATAACCTAAGCAACAGATTGTAGACGAGCTTTGGTAACAGGTCCATATACCAGGAACCACCAAAGGCTCAAACGCGAACAAAATTTCGGTGAGAAAGCCTAAAGGTGAAAGACTCAGGCCTCAATATTGCAATGGCACTAGAGGCTGTTCAATAATGACAATGGGATTTTTTTGTATGGTGTTCGATCTTTTAACAAGTTTATAAAGAAATTGATGGGATTTTTTATAAAAATATGTTGGAAAACGCACTGGTTACCTCCGCAAATGAAAATATACCAATTGTTTGGTTATTTTAGCATGGTAATAACCTCAAACATACATCGAAACATGCCACAGGTGTGTTTCGGGAGTAAAAAAATCAGGGTTTTATAATGCCCAGCACAATAATCAGATATTCACTTTTCAGAAAATTCTTTGTAGTATCACAAATAGCAAAAAAAGATATAGTTTCACAAACAAACAGGCATAATCAATATGCTGTTGATCACTAGCATATTTGATTATTCATAAGAAAAAATGAAAAAGTTACTTTGGTTTTGACCAAGCAAAAATTGGGTCAATTTGCTTTTCCAAAGATTTTTATACCCTACGCAAATATGTTGTCAGGGTATTATAGCTTTGTGCAGCCCCAAAATTCACTTTATAACGGTAAATATAGAGAAAAACGTGGTTTCATGGATTTTCAATTTAAACTCGAATAACTAATTTACTTTTTAACAGATTTATATTATTTTTTTTTTCTTTCGAAGAGTACAATTTTTCCTTTTAAACAAGATATATATTTGGTAAATCGAAATTTTTGAGGATTGGCTGAGTTACAGAAGTTGAAATGTGAAAAAATACGCATAGAAAGACAAAATTTACTTTTCTTCGGACTTTACGATGAAATTATGACATCAAGCCATATAAGTTTTATTATATTACGGTGAAGAAAATTAAATTAGCTTTCGAAAATGATAAAAATCAGAAAAATCGGTTAAAAATGGATGGCTTATATACATGGGACTTATATACATTTTGTGTGACAAAATTTGTATTCTATGGCGTATATTCTCTAAAGGAAATATGGAAGTTGATACTATATCCAAGAGGAGTGGTTGACCTTTAAATTTTACAAACCGTTATGTTTGCAACAGGCAAAAGGAAACGAGATAGACCTATAAATATTTACAGGTGCTTATGTATTCAATACAAAAATGTGTATAAGTTATACATTTTTTAACCGATTTTTCTGATTTTTATCATTTTCGAAAGATAATTTAATTTTCTTCCCCGTAAATATATATCTTGTTTAAAAGGAAAAATTGTACTCTAGGGAAAGAAAAAAAGAATAATATAAATCCGTTATAAAGTAAATAAGTTATTCAAGTTTCAAATTGAAAATCCATGAAACCACGTTTTTCCCTATATTTACCGTTATAAAATTAATTTTCGAAGTGACCCAGAAAAACCAAAGGTATTTTCGTGGTCCAAGGAACTAAACGTATTTGGTACATTAGAACCCTTGAAAAATTTTCGTGTCGCACAGTGTTATTCATAAGAAAAAAATAAAAAAATCTTTAGTTTTGACCAAGCAAAAATTGCGTCAATTTGCTTTTCCACAGATTTTTTATTTCAAAATAAATTTTGTATTTATACTATTTTTAATTGAATAAAAACATATTTATTTCTGAAAAAACGTTCACTATAACTTTATTTAAAAATAAAAATACAGGTCATTTATTCTATTTGTAATTTTAATTTTTTTAGCTTTGCCTTAAATAAAATACGAACTATTTCACTTATAGTACATACAAATATATTTTCAAAGTCGACTTTCGTGTCGGATTTCAAAATAGTTCTATTCCACAGTCATGCCTAAAGTACGTTTACATTGTACCGGATTTCGTTAACCCAGTGGGTTTAAATGTCTATTTCATTGTACATATTTCAAATTAATCCTCGTAATGTAGGTTAACCCGGTATAAAATTCTAATGTAAATGCCGCTTTAGAGTAGTATTATAGAAGATATTATACTTTTAGATTCTAGATTAGGTTATTTTCGAAATAATACAGCTGTTTTAAAATTTGTATAAGAAAATTTATATCACAATCAATTAAATGTCTATTACATTCCCTTTTGCAATGACTCTTTTGAAACATTTGTTTGCAAACAAATGCTAAAACTAATTGTAGTTTTTGCAA